ATAATAATAATAAGAATAAGAAGAATAATAATACTAAGAATAATAATAATAAGACGAATAATAAGAATAATAATAATAAGAATAATACGAAGAAGAAAAAGAAGAATAAGAAGAAGAATAATAAGAATAATAATAAGAATAATAATAATAATAATAATAATAATAAGAATAATAATAATAAGAAGAATAATAATAAGAATAATAAGAAGACTAATAATAATAATAACAATAATAATAATAATAATCATCATAATAATAAGAAAAAAGAAGAATAATAATAATAATAAGAATAATAATAATAATAATAAGAATAATAAGAATAATAATAATAAGAATAATAATAATAAGAATAAGAAGAATATTAATAATACTAATAATAATAATAAGAAGAAGAAACATAAGAATAATAAGAAACAAAGAAGAGGAGGAGGAGGAGGAGGAGAGGGAGGGGGAGGAGGAGGAGGAGGAGGAGGAGGAGGAGGAGGAGGGAGGAGGAGGACGTCCGCCACAGCGGTTGCGAATGCGAGCATCGCAGATTTGCGAGCAGGGCGTCTGTCAGGAAGAGGACGTTCAACTGTGTGACAAGGTCACGGTCGCGGTCATGGTGCCAGTTTTTTCTTCGCGGGGATGCCCTGTGGACTACCGCAGGTCAGGGTTCTGAATCCGCTTCCAGTTCTGGTTTCGGTTTCCTTCTTTTTCGGGGCCAAGGAAGCTGCAGGTTATGGTTTTTGGTTCCGGTTCGGTTCTGGTTTTGGTTTCCTTCTTCGGGGTTTTGGTTCCGTTTCCGGTTCCGGTTCTGGTTTCCTTCTTCTTCGGGGCCCAACAAAACCTACCAAGTCACGGTTTTTGTTCCTGTTCCACTTCTGGTCTCGGTTTCATTCTGTGTCCCAAAGAAGACCCCCAGGTCACGGTTTTGGTTGCAGTTCCGGTTTTGGTTCCGGTTTCCTTCTTCTTCGGGGTCCCAAAAAGACCCCCCAGGTCACGGTTTTGGTTCCGGTTCTGGTTCTGGTTCCGTTTTCCTTTTTTCTTCGGGGTCCCAGAGAAGACCTTCCAGGTCACGGTTTTGGTTCCGGTTTTGGTTTTGGTTCCGGTTTCCTTCTTCTTCTTCGTCCCAGAGAAGACCCCCCAGGTCACAGTTCTGGTTCCAGTTTCCTTCTTCTTCTTTGTCGTTGAGGTTCCGGTTCTGGTTCTGGTTCCGGTTCCGTTTTTGTTCTTTTTCTTGGTGCCCAGGGGCGCCCCTGGCTCTGGTTCTGGTTCCGGTTTTGGTTCCGTTTTCCTTCTTCTTCGGGGTCCAAGAGAAGACCTTCCAGGTTGCGGTTTTGGTTCCGGTTCTGGCTCCGGTTCCGGTTTCCTTTTTTTTTTCGTCCCAGAGAAGACCCCCCAGGTCACGGTTCTGGTTCCAGCTCCGGTTCTGGTTCCGGTTTCCTTCTTCTTCTTTGGTCTGTGACGGTCGTTGAGGTTCCGGTTTTGGTTCTGTTTTCGGCTCCGGTTTCCTTCTTCTTCTTGGTGCCCAGGGGCGCCCCTGGCTCTGGTTCTGGTTCCGGTTTTGGTTGTGGTTTCCTTCTTCCTCCCCGCCCCGAAGAAGGCCGCCTAGGTTACGGTTTTGGCCACGGTTCCGTTTCCGGTTCCGGTTCGGGTTTCCTTCTTCTTCTTTGGTGTGTGGGGCTCCCGAGGTCCTGGTTCCGGTTCCGTTTCCTGTTCTGGTTCCGGTTTGCGTTTGCCTTTTTCCGGCGCTCTTCTGTTCTGGTTTTGGTTTTGGTTCCGCCTCCGGTTTCGGTTCCTGCTTCTTTTTTCTTTCCCCTCCCGAAGAACGCCGCCGAAACCACCACCGAAACCACACTCCCCAGGAGAACCTACCAAAATCTTGTGCCCAGAGGCCTTAGGAGGCTGGCAATGCCAGACGTGGTGGGAACGCGGTGGGAGGGTCCCGGCGAAGATTTTGCAGGGTGGGTGGCTCGTAAAAGCTTACCAAAAACCTATGGCCAGAGGCCTTAGGATGCTGGCAATGTCAGACGTGGTGGGGGCCGGGTGAGGATTCCCGGCGAAGATTTTGCAAAGTGGGTGGAGGGAGCCTGTAGACCTACCAAAAACTTATGCACAGAGGCTTCAGGAGGCTGGCGATGTCAGACGTGGTGGGGGCGCGGTTGGGGGGTCCCAGCGAAGATTTTGCAGGGTGGGTGGCTTGTAAAAACGTACCAACAAGTTATCCTCAGAGGCTTCAGGAGGCTGGCAATGTCAGACGTGGTGGGGGCGCGATGTGGGTGTCCCTGCGAAGATTTTGCAGGGAAGATGGCCTCTAGGAGCCTGCCAGAGCCTTATGCCCAGAGGCCTCAGGAGGCTGGCAATGTCAGACGTGGTGGGGGCGTGGTGGGCGGGTCCCAGCGAAAATTTTGCAGGGTTGGTTGCTTCTGAAAACCTCTACCCAAAGGCCTCAGGTGGCTGGCAATGTCAAGCGTGGTGGGTGGTGGGGGCGCGGTGAGGGGGTCCTGGCGAAGATTTTGCAGGGTGAGTGGTCCCTAAAGATCTATCAAAAAACTATGCCCGGAGTCCTCAGGAGGGTGGCAGTGTCAGACGTGGTGGGGGCGCGGAGATTTTGCACGGTGGGTGGCCCCTAAAAACCCATCACAAATTTCTAATCTATGCCTGGAGGCCTCAGGCGGGTGGCAGTGTCAGACGTGGTGGGGGCGCGGGCGTGGTGGCAGGTGACCAGTGGAATCGCACACGCCTCTGGGGTCGGCGGATTTCGCACTTTGGGTATTCGGGGGTGTCGAACTCGAACTTTTGATTTTTCTTTCTGGCCGAACCCAAACCCGAAATTGTATTTGTTCGGGAGAATAACAAAGTTTTCCCCCCATCAGTCAGTTACAACTCTTGAGCAATATGAAGGCCGTCTTGGAGTGCCTCGAGCCCAGGTGGGTCGTCTCGGAGTGTTTGGGGTTCCCACATCGTAGGGAATGGTTACGGTACTGATCCCAACGGCGCACGATGTAAACCGGGTGAGTTCTTTTCCGGGTACCATGTGTTTTTCTTTGCGAAGATGGTTATGCAACAACAACGTTGAAACAACTCTTTCCGCCCGTTGGGATCTTACCCGTTCCAGTTTTTTCACCCATTGGGATCCCACCCAGTCTGCTAGGATCTCACCCGTCCCATGGGGATCTGATCCCGTCGCGACCCCCCCACGATCCCCCCACTGGGGCTCACCTTCTGGCAGAGGCGGATCAAGTGGAAGGGGGATCTTTTTTATTGGATTTCAGCCTTGGCCGATTCTATTCTGGCTGGCGAGCTTGAAAGGCCAAAGCTGGCCTCCGCGAAGGGAGGAACCACTTCGACACAAAAATCACCTCCCATGACCCCCCCCGGACGAGAACCCTCCGCTCACACGCCGGCAGGGTCCGCGGATTTCAAACACAATTGGTCTCAGGTCGCTTTGACAAGACAGTTTCTAGCAACTAGAGGGAGCATGGATGGCAACTACTCGTCAGCGATCTGTTAACTCATGTGCTTTTGGAAAGTCGCCAGGCTGGAATTCTGCCAGGGGCAACCAGGTCGCGGGCGTGTCGCGGGCAGATCGCGGGGGGCCCTGCAGCGCCGCTGGGCCTTCGCCCCCGTGGCCGGGAACGCGTTGTGATTCGGATCCACGTTCGCATTGGGAGTGTCTCTTGAGGCAGATGCGTCCCTGGCGTCGCTCGTGGGTCGCATCAGCGCGGCGCCGCGCATCCAGAGAGAAACGCCGCCGCGTTGATGCGGGCCTCCGCCAACGCCTGAGAAGGAATGGGAGTCTGCAGCTTTCCGCGAAACTAAAGCAAACATATCTGGCCCCCCAGGACTCCGAAGTTCAGCACCTAGTAACGCTCGCGGCGCGGTCCACGAGCGCCGTCGAGATATATATATATATATATATACACATATATATGTATATATATACATGTATACATATATGTATATATATATATAGGTGAATATAAATTCTCTGTTTAGGCGCCAGCATGAAAGTTTGGGGGTCTGGGGGCGCCGACGTTGCGCTGGACAAATTTGCTCGAACCTTCGCGAAGGGTTGCAGGTCTCCTCTTGTACACTTTTGGTTCATGCCCTTTTAGGCCTTCATTGGGCGACCTTGCGATCTCAGAGACCCATCAGTTCGCAAATATGTGAGGGCAAACACCATTCAGTTTTCGAGCGCTTTTTTCATATCGGGAGCCGCCCTGGAGGCGACCTTAGAGCCGTCTCGGATCTTGCGTGATGCGATCCTGGGTCCTCTTGGTGCAATGCTGAAGACCATCACTGGCCGGTTTGATCAATCTTGGAGGCCATGTCGGGCCATCTCGAGCATTCTCAGAAGGAAGGCGCACGGCAAGGCGTGGCTAGACAGTAACGCACAGGCGAAACGGTTGCCTCGACTCATCTCTGCATGCGCCCTCCCTCCTTGGGCGGAGGGTGCGACCTCTGCACGGGCAGCAGGAGGGGAGGGTCTCTATCCAAGCAGCACTTGCGCTGAAGGGTATCTTCCTCAAGTGGGTGTGAGTTGCCTCCCGTCGCCTGCAGTTTCCGTGGCACTCCTTCTTCCCGAACGCCCCCAGGCCTGGTGCTGCCCTCCGCCTCCGCCAGTTTCCTGAGTCGCCCTGGTCCACAACTGTTCCTGGCCCCGGTGTTGCCATTCCATGCCTTTCACGGACGCGTGCTGCGTAGTGGTCCAGTCGAGCATCTCACGTCTTCGAGCCGAGTGCATTTCTTTTTGTTGGTGCCATCACGACCACTAACAGGTAGTTTTTCGCATTGGCTCATCAGTCACCTTGGGATCTTCGAGATGGTGATTGCACGGGTTTGCGGGTCCGTAGCCTCCTGGCTCCTATTTGGCTCACTGGAATCCGCATAGCCTGGGTACCAGATCCACATCAGCAGACCGGACTATTCTCGCGATGGCGATGAGGGCGTTGCTTGCGCTATTCGCCTTGTCTTCTGTGGCCACTTCCCTGACTCTTCAAGCCGGGGAGGAGGCCATGGATGAGTACACCTCCGTAAGCGGCCTTCTGTCCGAGGCAGAGGCTCAGGGCAGCGAAAACCATGGGGATACTGAGATTTGGACTCCCTCCGCTTTTCCTCCTCCCCCCTTCCCTTTCCTTCTCTCCCTTCTTTCAGGGGCGGATCCTGGTGTAGTTCTGGCTGCCTCGGAAGGCACTCCTGCAGGAGGAGACGGCAGGCGACCGGGAGGCGGCCGAGGAGGAAATTCTCCTGGCCGGTGCAGCTTCCGTGGCCCCCATCCAGCAGGTTTTGGAAGCTTTCACTTGGGGGCGTGGGAATTCTTGACACCTACTCCAGATTTCGTAATAAAAGGGAGGGGGTCTGGACCCTCCAAGACAATCCATTTCAGACCCCCCCCCCGTGGGAGAACCTTCTAAAACATCGTCCCCAGACCCCCCCAGGCCCTCCAAGATATTAGCTTGGAAAAGACCCCCCCCCCCTCCGAAATGAGACCCCCCTCCCTTCTCACGAAATCTGGAGTAGCGTCTTCCTACTAGCTTATCCAGAAGTTATGCTCAGGCGAGTTACCTTGATAAAAAAAGTGTAGGGTCAAGCAGTGGAACAAGGAGGGGTAGCCGTCAAACCGATGCTCGGGATCAGCCCGAGCAGACCCAGGAGTGAACCATTGATGCCTTCGCGGATCTTTCAATGGGGCTCTCTTAGGGCCCCCTTGTGGCAATTTTGGAAGACTTCTGGGCTTCTTGCAGCCCTGTTGGGGGGCGTTCGGGGCCCGCGCAGGGCAAGCTCGGAGGCCATCGCGAAAAGAAGGTGGCCTCGTGGGGCACTTTTGGGTTGCTCTTCGACGCTCTAAGGGCTGTTTTGGAGCTCTCTGGGTCCCCTCTTGAGGCGCTGTTGGGTTACCTTGGAGCCATCTTGAGGCCAGCACTGGGTAGCGAGAAGGCGAGAAGCGAGGAGGCACACATCCCTGACTCCCCAAGGCTTTGAACGGACTCTGGGCTTTCGGGGGCGTCCTGGGGAGCCGGCCCTGGGACCTCTCGGAGGCACGTTCCAGGCTATCTGCAGCCATCTTGCGCTATCCTGTGCCATCTTGGAGGTCATCCTGGGCCATTTGCGGCCCTGCTCGGTCCCTCCCCTCGTCGAGCTCTAGGCGAGGGGGTATGGGGCAATGGTCAAGGCGCCCCTCCCAGACGCAAACTGTTGAGCTCACTCCTCCCGACCTCCCAACACATAGCAGTACTCGAGTCTCAGCATAAACAGCGGTCGTCTTTGGATGGGCAGCTACTGGGAACCAATACCGACCCAAGGTGCGCGACGCTGAGGCGAGTTGCGCCACGCGTGCCAGGCGCGCCAGGCGGCTCTTGGGCCCAAGCGTGCTAGGCACGCCTCGTGCGCCAGATGCGCCACGTGCGCCACGTGCGCCAATTGCTTTATGCCCCAGCCGCGCCATGCGCCACGTTCGGGGCGCGCAGAATGTGCCGGGTGGGCCCGCGCAAATCGGGAAGCGTGTCGGCCCTCACCATGTCGAAGACAAACGCACAATCGCTGCGAGGTGGCCAACGTGATGCCTGGTGGGCCTGCACACAGCCGGCAATATACAAGCTCCCCCGCCGTCCGAACCAAAGACCAATGCGAAGTGATGGGCCCCTCCTCGGTCGGGCTGTAATAACGACCTCGTGCACCCACGTACACTCTCAAGGGCTTGTGGAATTCTCGAACTCTTTTCGACAAAAAATGCGAGCGGCGTTTTCTTCGCAGCCTGTGAGTCGCCTGATGTTCCCCAAGATGCATTTTGATACTCTTGGTGGCGTTGGTGGCCGGATCCTGCTTGTCCGGCTTGATTTTAATCAAGGACGGACGACGAGGCATGGGAGGATGAGGATGAGGATGAGGATGAGTATGAGGAGGAGGAGGAGGAGGAGGAGGAGCATGCGGAGGAGGAGGATGAGGAGGATGAGGTGGAGGAGGAGGAGGAGGAGGAGGTGGAGGAGGACGAGGAGGAGGAGGTGAAGGATGCAGAGGATGAAGAGGGTCAGGAGATGAGGGCGTTGGAGGAGGGCGATGATGCTGATGATGCTTACGATGACGACGATGGTGATGATGATGGTGATGATGATGATGATCATGATGATGCTGATGATGATGATGAGGATGATGATGATGATGATCATGATGATGATGGTGGTGATGATGATGATGATGATGATGATGATGATGATGATGATGATGATGATGGGTAGGAGGAGCACGAGGAGCAGGAGGAGGAGGAGGCGGGAGACGATGAGGGTGGCGAGGACGATTATGATTAGAGAGGGGCTAGAGGATAAGCCGGGTGCACTTGCGCCAGATCTGGCATCCTGCTGTCCGCCGACGCCTTTCCTAGCGACCTCCGACGCGTGCCATACCGGACCTGGAAGTACAAGGAAGACCTCATCGTGTTATGTGCAGTCGGAAATGGGAGCTGCGTACATTGGAAGAGGAACATGCAGCGGATTAGCAGGAGGATGAGCGTGAGGAAGATGAGGAGGACGAGGAAGGAGGATGACGAGGACAAATAGCAGCAGCAGCAACAATTGCAGCAGAGGAAGCGCGATGAGCTGGAGGACCAGAGGAGCGCGCAGGAGTTAAAATGAAGGGGGTGACAACGATGAGGGATGACTCGGACCCAGCAAAGTGGCCCATGCTGGGGCGAGAGCGCCATTCTGAACGATGGGCGTAAAGTCCCGATCCTACGATGAGGCCCGCGCTGCATCGGGATCAACACTCGGATAGGAAAAACACATACTGAATTCTTCACGCTTCGCGTATCCCCACCAGCCCATCTCACAGCAGCAACTCTCGCGAAGCATGCCGACAGTTGTGTTTTTCAGGCGTGTGTCCGCTGGGCTCCGCATATCTCCCCTGTTCCTCCTTCCTCCTGCCTCCTTGTCGATCCTTCTTGTGAGGTGAGGCGTTCGGGCACCTCGTCCGCGTGCGAGGTGATCGGGGTTTTCGCAGGTGGAATCGTAGAAGTAGTAGTAGTAGTAGTAGTAGTAGTAGTAGTAGTAGCAGTAGTAGTAGTAGTAGTAGTAGTAGTAGTAGTAGTAATAGTAGTAATAGTAGTAGTAGTAGTAGTAGTAGTAGGAGGAGGAGGAGGAGGAGGAGGAGGAGTACTAGTAGAAGTACTAGTAGCAGATGAAGTAGTATGAGTAGTACTAGTAGTAGTAGCAGTAGCAGGAGTAGTGGTAGTAGTAGTAGTAGCAGTAGCAGCGACACTACTAGTAGCAGTGGCAGTAGAAGTAGCCGTCGTCGTAGAAGTAGTAGTGCTTGTAGTAGTACTAACAGGAGTAGCAGTCATAGCAGCAATAGTAGTACTAGTAGCAGCAGTAGTTGTACTAGTCGTCGTAGTAGTAGTAGTAGTAGTAGTAGTAGTAGTAGTAGTAGATGCAGAAGCAGTAGTAGTAGTAGTAGTAATATCTCTGAACAGGAATCCCAGCGAAGCATGCCGACAGTCGTTTGGTGCAAGCGTTTGCCTATCTGCTTTTGCATATATCCTCTGCTCCTATTTCTTTTTCCGTCCTTGTATAGCTACCTGGTGGGGGAGCCGAAGGAGGACGCGTCGGAAGAGGAGGAGGGAGGGAAGGAGTTGGGAGGCAAGACAGAGGGCGGTCGTCGTCGAGTCTAGCGATCTTTCCCGACCAGCGTCGTTGTTTTTGCCATTCTGGCTCCCAGTATTGCAGAGTGGCTGTGGGCTTCGCTCCGCCTACCAGTAATCGTTTCCGCCTACTAGCAACATTTTTGCGGCTGGCATGGGGAAGCGCCCGTGCGTTTTTGTACTCTTGCTCGCTACGGGAGCTCCTTGGAGCGAGCGCGGAGAATGTCGGTTGTCGGCATTCCCGCATCATTTTGAGCTTCGACAGTGCGGTCGGCGCGATGCACTTCGGTTCGCATGGCGTGGAACGTAATGGCGAGGCTTACGCCGCGAGGGCAGTGAGCGTAGCTCAGCCCACCACGACGACGTCGACGAGGGCGAGAGGACGACGACGACGACGTCGAGACAACGACGACGACGACGACCGCGACGTCAATGGTGACTTGGCTTGCGAGCCGAACGCACGCGCCCACTGTGCTTTTGGCACGAGGTGGCTGTGTTGCGCAAGTGCCGCACGTAGTCCATCGCGGCTACGGGCTCGCCACTTTTGGTTATGATGTATGTCATATCCTTCTCCATTCGCCCCGCTTTCGTGTCAGCAGGACGTCGTTGCGGCTAGCGCTCGGTGACATGCAGGCGCAGCGGTCATCGCGAGATGTCCCAGATACGCGCCACTCTCGAGGTTTTTTCGGCACGATCCATCCTTATTGCGACATCACGGCGTTGATTCCCCCCCATACATATACACACATACATTCAAAACAGAAGCACTCACACACCAAATACGTATAGACACACACTAAGAAAGCACAGCAAGAAATACACAGAAGTTCAACGTTGTTCCCCTCCTCTTCCCAAGGGAGTGAGGGGGTCCGCCATTTTTCCTTTGGACGTCGATCGGGCCCATGTCGAGGTCTGACAGTCGAAGTTCCAAGTTTCGTCTACCGCGCTCGTGTGCAGTTGACGCGTCGAGCGTTACGCAACGTGTTGGCTGACTTGCACCGCCTTGTCTTATGGAAAAGCGGAGAAAAAATACAGCAGGTAGAAGGCTCTCCGAACTCTTGCAGGAGTAAAGTGTGCTGAGAGGGCTTGCAGGTATTCAAGAGCTCGAGGCTATCAACATGAGTGTCGGCCTATCCCGCCGCAGTCTAGGTAGTGGCTTGTGGCGTATCCTGCCTCAGGGTATCCAGGGGCCTGCGGTCTAGCTTGCCACTGTGGTGCAGGCTTCCTCGATCTTCAGGGTTTAGTACTATACAAGGTTGTGGTTGGTCCAGCTTCAGATGTCTTCCAGGGTTATCGCAGGGTTTCTAAGTGTAGAACGGCTGACAATGGACACTACAGTCCGTTGGCGATTCTTGAGTGGCACGTTTCAGAAATGTCATGTTGTGTTGATTGTGTTGTGTCATGTTGAATCGTGTGCGGTCTTTTCCCAAGTTTTGTGTTCGAGTCAGTGGTCCCCGACGACGACGACGACGACGACGACGACGACCCTGCCTCTCGCTCCGGGCGGCCGTCTTGGCTGCCGCCGCGTTCGCCTTCCCTCGACGATGATCCCGACGATTTCCCACGTTCGGCTTGAAGGGCGGGCCCGCTCTCCCTCGTTCGGGTCCCTTGTTTTCTGTGG